AAAACACACCATCTACTTTTTAAAAATAAAGAATATGTTAGTTGTGAGCAGATCCGTTCTTGTTTTTCTGTTATGTTCAAGTTTTTTTGTACCAGAGCGCCGCAGGAGGAAACCCCTTTGAAGCATTTGTTTGACCCACATTTTACAGTAAAACAGATCCAAGACTGTAAGGCTGAGGGAAGAGGGCAACATGAATATTCTATAGTTTGGACTTTGGAGTAGGATACTCCCTACAGGCATCTGTCTCCTCATGAATGTTTGAATAAGACGCCTCTCTCATATCTTCTCAGGAATGTTCAACAATGGGGATATTTGGCAATTTCATGACAGGGTTGTCTAGAACCGACATTGTTCATGGGCCAAAAGCGAAAACCCGTTTTCTGTTTTAGTTTGACAACATTTGCAGTGAAGAAAAGCACATATTTGTTTAGGGAAAGGAAGCGCCAACATTAGTGGAACTATTTCGAATTTTTTGATGGTTATAAAACTTGGCCATGTAGCAAATCATTGCTTCAATATTTTTCAGAAAAATTAAATTACAGAGTTCATTGCTTTCCTAAAGGATCTGGTTGTGGGGGTTGCAGCTCCAACAGAGGGGTCCAGACCGCCTCCTCTCAATGTGTGAACTGGTCTGGCCAGAAAGGAGAGTTAATCTCCTCCTAAAGGCAGAACATGCATGAAACACCTCATCTAGGGGAGAGGTCTTCTACAAATATACTACAGCATATGTTGCATTGTGATATTTAAAGGTGCATTATGTAGAAAAGAAGTCAAAATGACATCCTGTGGTAAAATTTGGTTTCTGCAACCACTTTAAACAAATCTGGAGCTTTTTGCCGGCTGTCGTCAAATTAAGGAGACACAGCAACCTCACACTCATTGATGGTAAACAGTACTTACGTCCCTCCTTCCTTTGTTTCGAATGGAGAAAAACTGACAATCCCACAGTCAGCTGGATATGAAATATGTTTCACGTTCCTTCCAAAATGACTGAAACATTAGACTCTTTTGGGATTTTCTCACTGTAAAATTCTCACTATATTCTTACTCATACAGTTTAATACTATAAAATGACCCTAGCTGAGAATTATGCCGATCTGTTTCAGTTCTGAACAAGGCGAGAGCTGAAAAACAACTCAACTTTTAAACTGGTCGTTGCACTTTACACACATTTTAGAAAAGGATTTTTTAAATGAGCAAATTCTCATCCTATAATGAAAAACATTTTATCAAAAAGTATTTACGGCTGCTGTCAATGTATCTTAAGTTGACATTTCAACAAAGATGCCCTGAAATATTACAGCTGCACACATTTATCTAGGCTTTCTTTTGTAGAATCATTTTACAGCTGAACCACTAGATGGCAGCCTTACTCCAGATAATTTACATCAATATTTAGTATAATCTCTCATCTTGAGTTACTCTTTCCCATCCAATAGCGCAGAATGCTGTGCTGCTGTGACACACACACACACACACACACACACACACACACACACACACACGCACGCACGCACGCACGCACGCACGCACGCACGCACACACACACACACACACACACACACACACACACACACACGCAAACATTGGTCCACCTCTGGGTAAGTGGTGATGGTGAAGGCTTCACCCCCGCTGCTTCTGTCCTCTACCTTCTGTTGGTCTGGCGGGGTCTGGGGATCTGGAGCTACCTGTGGGGCTTTGGGGCTTTTGTGGGGATGGACAGGTGTTCATGGGTTGGGGTATGGTCTGGAGGCCCTGGCCCGTGCTGCGGCCTGATGGATGGCTGGCTTGGGATCTTGGGCACCTTGGGCTGCCTGCTGCCTCGGGGTTGCTCCCAGAATGGGGAGGGGCCTCTGCTGCTTGGGCCCCCCATATTTCACAGCCATAGGGTGTCCTCTCTATCCTCCATCCCTATGGGTTGGGGGCGCAGTTGGGGGACTGGTGCTCGCTTAGCCGGGGAGTAGAATCGAGTTGGCTCGGTTCCCCGTAGATATTATAAATGAAAGCGAGTGGAGGAATATGTAGAGAAAGCAGAAACAGTGATGGAGAGGAAGACGATGAGGTAAAAGAGAACAAGAAAAAATATTAATGGGGCTGCAGCTATTGAATATTTTCATATTAAAATATTCTATCAAATCCTCCATCGATAAATCGAATATTCTATTTGACGACGTTTCAAGTGAAAGGAGATTGTGTTCTGCTGCTAAAAATATGAAAATAAAAGCACAAAATTATAAAAGGCTCAGTGATATGTATTAAATTGGTGTTGTCTAGTTCCCTTTCCCATCTGATATTTATAATCAATAATATAGATATTATGGAACAACATTTGACATATATTTCAATTACAGTTTAGGTTTGAATTAATAAAGCTCAAGCCTAGTCAAATTAACCTATCTAAATATAGTCTCATATGATCAGTAGAATTGAATTATTTCAGTAACATGTTCAAAGTCATTTATTGTCATTTCTACCACATGTGCAAGACATACAGAGAAACGAAATTGAGTTTCAGTACACACAATTCAGAGATCAGACATACATGGGCAAGACAGATGACAAGAATTGGTGACTGCGGTCATTCGCAACATGAGTCGCGCTACCTTAGGAGTAAGCTAGTGGAAATGCTAATAACGTTTCATTTCTAATGGTAATAATGTAACGGTGGCATATCTATTTTATTATGTACAGGTTAGCAACATATTCCAGTCTAAATTGTGTTCAAATCAAGAAGCGTTGGTGAATTACATGCTATAATGGCCTGCCAAATTCCTGCTGGGGTGTGTGGAGCCTTTGGCTGACTGGTTAGCGTGCGTGACTGTCACCCGGGAGTCTGGGGATTGAATCCCGCCCGGGCCCTCGTTTCTCCACCTTGCCACATTAGTATTCGGTTAATTCGTCTGTTTGATTTGTCTTTAATTTTTCCCCTGCGACTGGCCACAGTCCCACGGATCTGAAATTTCTGAATAACATGTGCATTTGTATTCATTACTGATAGGACTTATTAGCCTAGCAAGCCATCCCTGTGTGTGAAAAGCCTGGCCACGACCCATTGACGGCTCTGTCGTGGGGCGGGATCTATGATTGTCTTTCAAACGGTCTCTGCATTGTAAAACAAACAATGCAGTGTACTCACTGCTATGGATGTCAGTCAACGGGGCAGTACATCATACATCGTGGAAGAAGCAGGGAGAAAGATAAGAATACCTAAATTTTTTTCTAAATGAACTTTTAGAATTTCGTTTAAAGTTCTGGTGTTTGTTTTTAAATGTTTACATGAGTTGGCTCCACGATATCTATTGGATCTGATCCATCCTTGTGTTCCCTCAAGGAACCTTCGGTCAGCACAGCAAGGACTGTTGGTTGTTCCTAAACACAGACTGCAATCTCGAGGGGGTCGTGCTTTCTCGGTGCTGGGGCCGAGGCTCTGGAATGAGCTTCCTACATGTGTTAAACAGGCCACCACGCACGCCAAGTTTAAGAGCCAGCTGAAAACACACTTTTATTCTTTAGCTTTTAACCAAGAAGGGTCTCGTTAACGGATGGCTTAGCACTTTTTTGCTGCCCCACCTAGATTTTATCTACATGTTTTTGTTGGTTTTTAAATGGTTTTATACGTTTTTACTTTTAATGCTTATTTCTGCAGTGCAGCGCTTTGTTTGGTTCTTGGGCCATGTGAAGGCGCTATATAAAGTTTAGTAGTAGTAGTAGTGATTGGCCAGCCATCATCCTGTGGAGGTTCCAATACAGCATTGCTAGAGCATCTATTCAAAAGACTCTTTTCAATGAATCAGAGCTGTGGGAGGACGCGTCGCATCCCTCCAATGTCTGTGACAACGCGGGGGGTGGGGTGGGGTGGTTAGCTTCAGCCGAGGTCCATGACAGCATGGATGTAGGGTGAGCATTACTGGAAGACGAGATGAACAGTTCTCTACAAGGACTCAGCTCTCATTGTTCAGACTTGTTAAAAAAGATTTGATTCCTTCACATTACTAGTAGTCACAGGAAGGGGTGCCCAATGCTGGTCCTGGAGGGCCAGTATCCAGCAGGTTTTAGTTTTAACCCTTTTTCAACACACCTGAATTCAATCAGCAGGTCTATAACAGGCTCCTGTAGAGCCTGATGAACTGCTGCACAGGTTATTCAACCACTGAATCAAGTGCGTTGGAGCAGAGAAACCACAAAACCTGCTGGATACCGGCTCTCCAGGACCAGGATTGGGCACCCCTGATCAAGCTGCTTGGCGATGGTTTGAGCCTTTACCTTTAACATACTAGTTTATAATTTTCTTTCTAAACTCCTGAGACAACTCTTACCTTCGCTTCCTCTGGTCAGTGTTGAGTGTGGTACACATCATGTCACCAAACAACACAGTGACTACCTGGAGCCCTGTACGGTCGGAGGGACCGGTGGCAACAGTGCTCGGCTGTCTCACTTCAGTCAGTGCGCTCCAGGGCAGCTGTAGCTACATTGTAGCTCATCACCACCAGCATGTGAATGTATATGTGTGTGTGTGGATGGATGGATGTGTTGTGAAGTGCCTTTTGGGGGTTGTAAAACCCTAAGATGCTAAACAAATACAGGCCATTTTTAGGCCTTCTGATTGTAGATACCTGTAATGCTAATTTAGTGAACACACCTTGAATGAACATGTCCATGTGATCACACATTTTTCAGTCTTTTTTGGGGGTACCATAATTTCTGTTCTATGAGCTTATTTTTTTTAAATAATTATGTTGAAGCATGGTTGAAAAGCAACATCTGACTTTCACTGGTTACATTTTATAGAACTTTTATTTATTATTACATTGGTCAGAATCAAATTTTCACATTTCTGTGGCCATTATGGGGTTTTCTTTCATCAAACAAAGGGCACCAATTGTTTTATCTGTCTACACACACACACACACACACACACACACACACACACACACACACACACACACACACACACACACACACACACACACACACACACACACACACACACACACACACACACACACACACACACACACACACACACACACACACACACACACACACACACACACACACACACACACACACACACACACACACACACACACACACTACTACCACAACAAATATCCTATTTCACTTATTCTTATAGATTTTCTTTTATGAAGACCTCAGTTTTGTCCTGTCTGTGTATTTGTTGTCTGTTTTTGTTTATGATTTATGTAATTTTTCTCCCTGCCTGTCCACTTCGGTACATAACCCAATGCGATCTAACATGCCACATACATACTAAAGGCTTACCGCAATAGGAGGGCTATCTCAAATCCCTCTTGCTTTAGATTATAAATGCTCTGGCACATTATGTCACCCAAATCAACCACTCTTCCTGCTTCAAATGCCAAGACAGAACAGGTTGAAAAAACAAACAGAAAAAAAAAAATAAAAGTAAATAACTAACCCCCCCCAAAACAAAACAATACAGGCATTATGCTGGTGAAGGTTCTCATTCATCCAGTCCCATCTCTGATCTGATTCAGCAGAACTGACTCGTCCCCTCTGTCAGCCTCCATGGGTGGTGGAGAACCAGGTGGTGAGGTAGGGCCACCGTGACTTGAAGCTGGAGGAGGAGAAGGAGGAGGTGGCGGCGAGGCAACAGAGAAGGAAGCATGAGATGGTGCAGTGGGAGGCGGGGGTCCTCCTCGATTGGTTGGGGGAGGTGGTGGAGCAGACATGCCTGGTCGGGATGGAGGAGGAGGGGACGGGGTGTCCTGCACAGGACCTTGGGATGGAGGAGGTGGTGGAGCAGAGCAGTGTGATTGGGATGGGGCAGGGGGAGCTGAAATAGGGAAGGAAACAGAAGAACAAAATTTAGAAACATTTTTTGACACAGCAGCTTCTAGACATTTGTCACACAGAGACTGATGAAAGATCCGAGATCCAACAGTTCAACACTCTCCACAGTCCTCCAGATGCTCAATCTGACCTAAGTTTCTTTAGCGATGTTTTCCCAATGGTGAAAACTCAAGAGGAAAAGAGGGAAACAAGCAGGAATCCTGGTGGAAATTAGGCTTCTCTTAAATATGCTATTCAGAGTTTTCCCCAATCAGGAATTATATATGGTTTTTCAGAATTTCATGAAATTATTATTTATTATGTGATGTAGTGTGGGCAATACGTCCCCACCCCCTGTCCCATGGAGCTCCATGCAATATGAACTGAGCGCCTGTCAGCACTAACCAATAGCGTCAGACTACCATTAAATGCAGACGCCAATCACAGAGCATGCAAAGTTGGCAACCTCTCGTGGACAAGTAATTCTTTAAATTATAAATATATTGCAACATTACGTGAGCATATTAAACTGTAAAACAATGTGTTTTTAGCTCTGTTTTGTTAGCTAGGAGCACGTTCATGGCTTTAAATATGAAAGTGAAAACGTCTTGGTGTGATACACTTGTCAGCCACTAGATGGTGCCATCAGAAGAAAGAAATAATCCGAACATCTCCTTTAAAATGTGGTTTAGCTAGTGAACATCAGCGGGATCTCTTAGCTTCAGGTTCTTTGTGGAAGTGAGTTCTGCCTCCGCTTTCCCACTGGGCCGCGGTGTGGCATGGTTTCTCTGTCCACATGTTCGTTCTTCAGTGGTTTCTCTCCCTGTCTCCTCCATGAGTGGACTCTACAGACACCATGGATCAAACCCTGCTGTTACGTCCACTAACTCCAGCTGTTTCAGTTGTTTCGCATTTAACCGCCTCACTTAGCAGAGCTTTACTAGGTACACACTCCATTAACAATAAGTCCTTCCTAACCCCCTGAGCCTGGGATCAGTGGACTCAGTGGTCTCCTTTAAAAATGAACTGAAATCTCACTTGTTCAGGCTAGCTTTTGAGTGAACTTCTGTTGATTATACCTCACTACCTCCACTTCATGCGGCTGTCTCTTTCAATTCTGTCTTTTTCTTCAGACATCACACACTCTCAGCCATGCATCTATAACCTCACATCACAGGAGATCAGCACTCTCACCTGTAACTTAGGTTAGGAAAGTAAACCTGGTGAAAACACCTTCGGCACTGAGATGCTTTCAAGTTCCAGCTGCACCTAAAACCCTTTGGATGCCTTTAAGATTAAATGTCAGGGACAAAAAGCTTCAATTCACATGCAAAGAGTTTTAAAAAGTCCTGATCCAGAGACCTGAAGGAGCAGAGGAGGTTACGCTGCAGGTGGAGAAGAAACGCTGCAAAGCATATGCAAATATTCCATCTGATCAACAGATCTGTCCGGTGACGTCAGCACATCATTAAACAAAGTGAAAAACACCAAACGCCTAAAAAATTAAAGTAGCTGCAAAGACTTGGCTGGGTTCTTAAAACATGCATTGTAAGGCTTCACAACAGGTCATACACAAACACCTACCGCTCAACCTGGGCAGATCTGGGGTCAAAACCACCACACTAGTTAGACTGGCTTTAACCCACGAGCAAATTCATACACAGCATCTCATTTAACATCCTGTCATTTTATCCCTTCTTAAATAAAACAAAAGTATAGTTTGACTTCAGTTAAAAAAAACTCTCCAAACTCTCTTTCAGAAGCATAAATGATCAATTCTTACCTTGTCTCCGTACCTCGTTTTTGACGGCCTCCACACCCCCGTTCTTCTCAATGAAGTCATAGATGGCTTTAGATGTCTCCCTATCCTTCAGCTCAGCCTCAGAAATGCCGGCCATGTCAAACAGGTTCTTCAGCTCAGGATCCAAATTATTCAGCTGGAAAAAAGGGAAGACACGTTTGATTAACTAGATTAACTAGAAAACTTTTAAAATAAACACGAAATACTAAAGCATAGTCGGTACGGATTCCGAGAAAAGAGGACAACAGCACTTGCAATAATGGAAGCAACTGATGAAATAATTAATACATTAGATAAAGGTAAATTATGCTATTGGAGTATTTATAGATTTTAGCAAAGCTTTTGATACAATAAATCACTCAATTCTCATAAACAAGCTTCAACAGTATGGCATTAGTGGAATAGCACTGGACTGGATCACCAATTATTTATCTAAGAGACAACAATTTATTAAAATGGATGATGTCACTTCTGAAAGTATGGAGATTGCCCCCAGGGGTCAGTATTAGGACCTGCTCTATTTAATATACATATATAAATGACATTTTTCAAGTCTGTAAAATTCTGAAGATGATCTTATATGGGCTTAAATAAGGGCCAAAATGTTTGTGTAGTTAAAAGAAAAATTTGAAATTGAAAATATGTAAACTGAAAGCAAAAGTCACATTTTTAGAGTGAACTTTGAAAAAGAAAGACTTGGATTTAAAATAAAATCAAACGTTTGGAATATTTGTAAGAACTGAAACCCCAATGATATTTTTATTTAGAATTTTTCTGAGTAAACTTTACTAAAGAATTTTCAGTAATTTTTTTTAATTATTGTTTTTTTTAAATCCATTCAGTCTCAGATTAAATTTTTTCACATTCAGATCCTTTAAATTAATGTACAAAAAAATTCTTCAGGTTCAGATTTTTTCTTTCAGCTTCAGATTTTTTTTTCACTTTCGGATCTGTATTTTTCAGTTACAGACTTTTGGCCCTGTTTTGGCCTGGTGGGCGTGGCTACACAGAGAGGGGCGGGGAATCATGAGTGACAGCAGGCCGCTGGAGGCTGAAGATGGCCCATTTTTCATGTTGCCTTCAGGAAACCTGGGAATAAACACAATTTATCAAACACCTCCTGCACTGTATTATTTGATAATGGTTAGATAACATGTCATGCATAACTGCTTAAACTCAGTTACTAAAGCTCTTTCAATCAGTAACCTGCACTGTATTATTTGATAATGGTTAGATAACATGTCATGCATAACTGCTTAAACTCAGTTACTAAAGCTCTTTCAATCAGTAATGTGTACAAATTACACAGTGACTGATCAATTATGAGAAGTTTTCCCAACTACTACGTGAGAAGTGATCATTTCCCATGCTCTCAAAGTAGCATACGTGGGTGCTGCTGTTGTGCCTCAGGGAACGATGGCGTCGTCATCCAACAGCACTGCTGGTGCGAACAGTCAGGTGAGTGTTTAAGTTTGGAAAAGTTACACTGCAGTCTGTGAATGCTAAGAATTTACGAAGTGGCTATTGTTACGGTTAAAAGTAAGATTCATTTTCGGCTATTCTGTTTTTTTATTTAATTTTCATGGTGAAATCAGTAGCAGTTTTAGGCACGGTCAGACAGGGCAGTTGTCCGGGGCGGCATTTTTTCATGACACAAAAGGGACGCACAAGCGCTGAGTAAAAAAATAAAAAGAAAGAAATCTGCGCCGCACCGAGGTTTATATTCAATCTGTCATATCACAGAGTCTGGATTGGAAACAGCAAGTTGGCGCCCCCTGCAGTTGCAGGCGCTCCTGCTGACTGAGAGGGTTCAGGTGGGTGCACCGTGTGTGTATGAAGAAGAGGAAGGGGAGGGGTGCGGCGGGGGAATTCACCTCTGGGTCTTTCCCAGGCCCCCACAATGCGGCTGGTGGTTTTAGCTTTTTCATGTTCATCTCTTCTGTTTGGCTCTTGACTCAATAAGTTTCCTTTAGTCAGGACTAAACAATTTGACCTGGGTGGGTGACCACAAAATCGTTTTGTTTTTCCTTTTTTTATTCGGCCATTTCACACAATTCAGAAAAACCTGAAAGAATGATAGGCCTGTGTTTATGATATTATGAATGAAATGTGTGTTAAATGGAAGAACATCAAGATGTGATTGACTTTAGCCATGTTAATACAGTTGATTCAGCCCCTACCCGCTCATTTCATTTGGGAAAGACCCAGAGGTGAATTCCCCCGCCGCGCCCCTCCCCTTCCTCTTCTTCATACACACACAGTGCACCTGAACCCTCTCAGTCAGCAGGAGCGCCTGCAGCTGCAGGGGGCGCCAACTTGTTGTTTCCAATCCAGACTCTGTGATATGACAGATAGAATAGAAAACCTCGGTGCGGCACAGATTTCTTTCTTTTTAATTTTTTTACTCAGCGCTTGTGCGTCCCTTTTGTGTCATGAAAAAATGCCGCCCCGGACAACTTCCCTGTCTGTCCGTGCCTAACTTCTACTACTTCTAACGTAGTAGTTGGGACAACTTCTCATAATTGATCAGTCACTGCGTAATTTGTACACATTACTGATTGAAAGAGCTTTAGTAACTGAGTTTAAGCAGTTATGCATGACATGTTATCTAACCATTATCAAATAATACAGTGCAGGAGGTGTTTGATAAATTGTGTTTATTCCCAGGTTTCCTGAAGGCAACATGAAAAATGGGCCGTCTTCAGCCTCCAGCAGTCTGCTGTCACTCATGATTCCCCGCCCCTCTCTGTGTAGCCACGCCCACCAGGCCAAAACAGGGCCAAAAGTCTGTAACTGAAAAATACAGATCCGAAAGTGAAAAAAAAATCTGAAGCTGAAAGAAAAATCTGAACCTGAAGAAATTTTTTGTACATTAATTAAAAAGATCTGAATGTGAAAAAAATGTAATCTGAGACTGAATGGATTTTTAAAAAAACAATAATTAAAAAAAAATTACTGAAAATTCTTTAGTAAAGTTTACTCAGAAAAATTCTAAATAAAAATACCATTGGGGTTTCAATTCTTACAAATATTCCAAATGTTTGATTTTATTTTAAATCCAAGTCTTTCTTTTTCAAAGTTCACTCTAAAAATGTGACTTTTGCTTTCAGTTTACATATTTTCAATTTCAAAATTTTCTTTTAACTACACAAACATTATGGCCCTTATTTAAGCCCATAATCTTATTTGCTGATGATACAAATTTGTTTTCCTCTGGAAGTGATCTCAATGAAATAATTAATATTATCAATAAAGAATTAAGTAAACTAAAAAAACGGATGGATAATAAATTATCATTGAATATAGAAAAAAAAACCTAAGGTAATGACTTTTGTCAATTGTGAAAACAAAACAGAAGTATATATAAAGATTGATGATGAAAAAATTGAGAATGTTAATGAAATCAAATTTTTGAGTGTGATCCTAGATAAGAAACTCTGCTGGAAGCCCCACATTAGACACATACAAACAAACTATAAATAAAATGACACAACTGTTGGACTGTAAATCACTCCATATTCTGGGGGAAACGATTATAAAAATGCACTACATCCACTATCAGTATTGCAAAAGAGGGTAATACATGTCATTCATAAAGTTGGGTATCTGGATCATAAAAATTCTTTGTTTTTACAGTCAAAATACATTAAACTTCCAGACCTGGTTCATTATCAAACAGCTCAAATCATGTTTAAAGCAAATAAGCACTTATTGCCACCTAATAATTAAAATCTCTTCAACCAGAGTGATGAGGGATATAATTTTCGAGGTACTAAAAATTTTAAAATGCCTATGGTACGAACCACTAAAAGGAGTTTTTGAGTATCAGTATGTGGAGTGAAGCTGTGGAATGGGCTGCAGGAAATACACAAACTGTCATGACGTGCGCAGGTGAGTTGAGCCGGAGGTGAGGACCCAAACGCAGGGGAAGAAGCAGGCAAGCAGGCAGACAGGAAACTTAAGGGTTTTAATGACACGGATCATGCAGGACCTAGACCGACAAGACAAACAGGAACGAGAGGGTTTAAATACAGGAGAAGCTGGGACCTTGGGTGACTGGGAGACGAGAGGCAGGTGGGAGCAGTTAACATTGACACAGGACTGAACAGAATGGGGAGACAGGACAAATAGTGCCCAAATATAAACAAATTTAAATCACTGTATTAAAAAATGATAATTAATGGATATGAAAATGAGGTTCTGGAAACTATGATATTGTCATTATTATTTAGCTGTTGTTGATGTTATTATTGTTATTATTATTACTATCACTAATACCACAAAATGTTTACACAAAATGCTCTCATTAGTAGCTGCATATATTTATGAATATGGGTGTATGTATGTATGTATGTACGTATAGATGGTAATTTGTAAAGTAAAGGTAAATTAGTAATGTGAAACAAGGGGTGGGATTGAATAAGCACTTACTTCTTACTCCCTTTGGACAAAGACTTCTTTCATTTATTTATGTATTTATTTATATTTTTATTGGTATATCTTTTCTTTTCTATTATGTTCATTGATTTTGTAAAAATATTTTGTCTTATGTTCAAATAAACCAACCAACCAACCAACCAGAGGTGGAAAGAGTACTAAAATTTCCTACTTAAGTACGAGTACCAGTACTTTGATAATTTTTTACTCAAGTACAAGTAAAAGTACTTGCCTAAATTTTTACTCAAGTAAAAGTAAAAAGTATCGTAAATAAAACTCAAAGTAAAAGTTACTTAGTTACATTTTTGTCAGCGTAAAAATGGTTACATCAATGCAAAACCACAACACCAGTTCACAACATGCTCGTGTGTGCACGCACACACATGGACACACACACAGTTTGATGGAAGGATTTCTATCCAATCAGTGAGAACAGGACGTGCACATTTATTGGACGAGGTTTTTCTAGGATTGTACGTTTCAATTGTGATTAAAATTATTCTTTATTTTGAAAAAAAAATGTTAATTTTTAGATGCCATCAGTGTGTGAGGTATCTCAATGGTCTCATGACAAAACTCTAACATGAGACTGTGCTCTAACCTGTCACATAACAAGCTAAATGAAAGTCAAACATTTCAAATGGACCGTATGACAGCTGTTAACGTTGGCCCTGCCCTACTTTACCTCTACAACAGTTC